GGGGGGTGGATACCGATGGTATTCTGATGAGTAGTAAAGCATTCTGTCTGTTAACCAATAAGAGGAACCTCAGATTCGTAAGGGAAAGCCTTTTAGCCTAGTACGATTGGTCTGATAGAGTACCCCTCCCCCCCCGCTACTGATGGATGAATTGTTTTTTTTAATTCTCCACAATTTAATCCACTAGAGAGCTTGATCACAATAATTAACAAATAACATGAAAGATAAATGAAATATAAAAAAAACAACCTAATGTCATTTGAATAATATATTCTTTGCCAAACACATTGAAATAGCACGATAATCAATTTAAACAACATTTCACGTAAACACATGGTTCGATAAATACAAATGCCCCCTCCAATAACACCGACAGCTTCATTTGGTTACTCCTACCGAGTAATAGACAGTTTTGTCGTCATCGTCCCTGAAAGAGCGAGTCAATTAGAGGTGTGGGCTGTTTACAGTAGCAAATGCAAGCGGAGTCATAACTTTTGAGATTAATCACCTGACTCCTACACGGAGGAGGAGGAGGAGGAGAAGGCTTTGGAGTTAGCGTGCTAGCATGTCTGCGTAAGTATACAAGCATAAAAGGTGGACAATTTTAGCTTTGTTTTCGGCTGTCCTGTTTCAACCAGTCTGGCTACGGGAACACAGCAGTTATCGCGCAGGGACATAAAATGGTGGTAGGACGCATAAGCGAAACATAAACGAGGTTGAAGTAGTCAATATCGCATCAACCAATCACTGTACAATGTACTTTTAGAAGCCTACAGCACATCCCTATTGCGTCTAAGCTAATTTGCTCTACACCCAAACAGACTAAAGGAACTAAATACGGGCAGTTGAATAAAACGGCGCATACAACAAAATACATGTGTACTTAAATGGGATGGAATTAATGAGCCTAATTATTTGGATAGCTTTGTTGTTGTAGTGCAGTGAGTGCAACTGTTAACGTCATTGGCAGACAAACGTCAAGTAACATGCCGCGCGACTGTCTATATGCGCGCACTTGCATGCGAGTGCCCTTTTAGTGGTCGCAGTGACGTCAGTTCAAAGCCCGTGTATGGGACAACCTTCAGCAGGAGCCAATCAGATTACGAAAGCGCAGAAGGCGCACTCGACTATGCTTTGTTGCCGTATAAATTGTGTGTAAATGGACCCAAAACGTACTTTAGCCGTGGAGCACTAATACAGGCTGCTAGGAGCGTGGCTATAACCACTATTGGAGGGGAGAAGCCTACGCAACCGACTGCGCATCACATCAATAAGCTAACCTGCTAGGAGATTTGGAAAACGGAGAGAGGTCGGTTGATCGTTGTTGTTGGAAGCTGTAGTGGCATCTAGGCGTCTAGTTTTGGTTTGTGTGGAGTTCGAGAGGGGTGTGTCAGATGGAGAACAGGGCTCAGGGGTGGAGAAAGGCTCAGTAGATTCTGATTTACACCGAGGAGCATTAGTAGAAGAATCAGAAATGAGAGCATTGTAATTGCCCTGAGATGCTGATTTTTCGAGTGGTTGAGGAGTTTCATCTGCATCCAATTTCAGTCGTCTATTGGAAAAATAGACGTTACTACATTCAGAAATGGGGTGTGCGGGAAATATCAAGTGCAATTATTTTAAGTGGGGCACACGATAGACTTACCTGCACGTGGAGCACCCTGGGCAAAGCTTACTCATACGGCAGAAAATCTATAACTCGGCAGTTGACGTCACAATTCAAAACTACCATGACCCCCACTTTGTGTCATATTCCACCACTTTCACAGTGCTCACCTTTTTTCTATCTTCGCGACTGTCCTAAGTGCTTCCATAAGTCACTTTTCTGTTCCCCCCCCCTCCCCCTTCTCAACTTTTCTCACTTTGATGTTTCTCCCCCATGTGAAATTCGGAGTCAACTAAGCCTGCCATTTGATGTAAATATTCAGAAAGAAAACCGGTTTATTACTACTAAAATCAGCTCTAGTCGCATTGGTGTAACCAGGCATATTTCGCATCGGATATTAGTGGCCTATTGGCTTTTAAATTTCGTAAAATTTTGCATTCGATTTTTTGCGCAGTAACTAAATGAATTAAGAAGTGGGAAAACAAACCGAACTTTACGCCACAGCGTCTGTTTGTTAGTGAATGCCTGTCAATCAAATACACAAAAGGAGTGCACTTTCTAATTTGCATGAGTTGGAAGAAGGCAGATGCAGCAAACAAAGTCGACCTTGATATGTCAAGTTGCCAAAGGAAGTTAAGTTTGGTCCATCAAAAGGGCATTTTTCCACATCACCTTTGACTTGATTATATGTAATATTGATGTTGTGCTAATATAGCTAATTGAGAAAAAGAGATTCGGATGGGAACAGATACATTTGTAATTCAAAATCACAGGGAAAATAATGTTGCACCGAGATAACAGTATTTATTGTAAATAAGTGGGAATCGATGTAATTGTACCGTAAATAATTCGTTTATTGAATTTTAGAAACCAGAGTTTAGCATTATTGCTCGCTAGTTTATGCCAATTGGTAATTTCCAATAGAAGTTTCACTACGCACTCTCTCTCAAACGAAAACAACGCATGAAAGCGTGAAACGCAAAAAATCCAGATTTTGAACCTGCTATAATCATGCATTTTTTGGCAATCAGTTAGAGAAGTAATTAGGGAAAATCTAATTGGTTTATTATAATGGAACATTTTCGCGATTAAATAATGGTCTAGCTTAGTTCTTTGACATTAATAACTGCCCCCCTCCAATTATAAATATTTGGGCAAAGTGAAAAGGAAGGGGGAGGATAAGGAGAGTTGTACTTTCCCAATTGGGTGTTTATGTCTAGAACTATTAGCTCTGTTGCGCTGTTTTGCAAACACATCCACCCACGCACGGATTAAGCAAAACAAACACACAAGCAATAAGCGTGCATATGCTCCGTGTCTGTGCAGGTTGTCATGACAACGTAAAAGCGCATTCTCCTATTTTAAGCAGAAGGAGAGTAAACGCAGTCGTCAAACGGGAGACTTTGGTAAACACAAACACATCAGTATCGTGAAGTGCGAACAGGTGTACGCCAGCCACACAATGCATAATAATTTTAAGAGGGGGGGGGGAGCGATTGGGGAGGGAGATCGTGTGCTGCAAGAATCAGTAATGTCAGCCTTATTGGCCAATTTCAAGGTCAGTGGCAGAATGTGTTGTCTCTCCTGTCTAGTTTGGACATAGCGGATTACGTAAACGTGAGCTTGCAGAGAAATAACTGTACTTTTAACACTAAGGCAAACAACAAATGGACAGAATGGGCTTTAAATAGGCACCTCGAAAACATTAATTGATAATTTGCTCATATTACACAGGCGAAATATTTAGAAGCAGATTACCTGGCTCACTTGCATCCCTTCTTTAGGTTAAGGCCAAGCCGTGTTACTTCACGTTGATGCGCTACTGAGGTCACGCATAAGGTCAATCTCAGTCCCCTAATGACAAATCACTGTTTATGTTTGCTGTGTGTTTATAGACTTGTAAAACCGGAATGAACATAAACATAAAACACAAATAGCAAGTGCTAACGGAGAAAAACTTCCCAATTTTAAAGAACTTTAATATACAGTGAGCAGCTGTGTGATAAATAGATTGAGTGGAGTATGTTGTCCAGTGGAATACGACGCACAACTGAATAAAATTTTGACATGCGACGTATAAAATTAGTATAAAATTTAAATAAATAAACTCACTTTTCTACAGGATAATCCGAAATCTCCGAAGTTAAATCCGCAAGGCCGGCAATCTCTGCTGAGTATCTCCAAATAGTTCGCTTTTTGGGATGTCTAGAACCAGAGCTTGAATCTAGAACTTCGACAACCAAAGTGATAGGCGTGCTGGGAAATCTTAATCTGCAGCTAAAATTATAATAAATAAAAAATAGGAAACAAAAGTACCAATTGGGCACAGGAACAAGTTTCTCGCTAAACATTTGAAATTCCTCATCGACAAAAATTCCATTTTTGCCGAGGATTCGAAGAAATAATGATCCATTAATTGTATGTAATTCAAGATGCTTCCTTGAAATACAATCCGATTCTCCAAGGCAAATATCTATTGGCAGTGGACTTCGGCGGCCGACAGTAATTACTTCCTTTTTTAGACAATGGGTAAAATTCGGTCCCGTCACTCGCGTGTACATTAATCGTTAAATAAGAATAAAGGTCGATCGAGTGATGAGCCCACTCAAAAAAACACCGAGAACAACGAATTTGCCAGGGAAATATGCATAACGCGGCGTTAATTTAAGGTCAAAATTATTTTAGCCAGTAGAGATAAACAAATAAAATTTACAATTTGTTTTAAGTAAAATTCATAATACTTATACATTTAAATAATAATTTGACTTGATATAGATCATACTATTTACGTTCTAATTTTTGATCTTACTTATTTTCACACTTTTCAAATTGTACAATGATAAATCTAAAATTTTGTCCATTTTGATAAACTTCAGAATTCGTCAACTTCCACAGGATTTTTCGTTAATTAAATTTTTCAATGTCAACGCAGAATTTTTTGTTAGGTAAGTATCAATATTACACTGCCAAATATTGTTATTTACCACATATTTAATATTTTATTCAAGAATTTATTACTAATATACCTATCTTTACTTTAATGTTTCGAATACCTGTTAACATCAATATTTTCTAAAATACTTGCTGATTTATTTTTCAATTTTTTCAATAGATTTAGATCTAAATGCTTTGTAAGAGAACCTTGGCATTTAAGATATGCGGCTTTGAGAAGAAACATGTTCACTTCGAAATTAAATTTACCATCAAAAATTCTGATTCTTACTTTTTGAATATATAATACCAAGTTATCTCATCTTGCTGATTCCTATTTTAACACAAAATGGAACTATTCCGTAACAGTGGCTTACTCCTTGTAAAAGATTTATTTATTTATTTATATCAAATGGCAGGCGTCTTGATGGTTATCATTAGCCCTTTAGTTGACTTCAGACTTCACAGAGGAGAAGGAACATCAAATTGAAAAAAGTCGAGAGGTGGGAGAACAGAAGAGTGTTTCAAAGATATAAGAGACAAACACAAGGGTAGAAAAAGGTAAGAAGAGTACTGTGGAAATAGTCGAATATGGCATAGAGTGAGGTGGTGGTAGTTTGAAGTGAGAAGTCAACTGGCAGTTAATAGACATTTTTGCCGTATGAATATACGTTGCCCAGGGTGCACCATACGGAGGTA